GGGATTATAGATGTGAGCCACCAAACTCAGCCTTATTATCCCCTTCTGTACACATGAAAAAATACCTATAATTTGATCATCCATATAGTCATTCAGCACAGTGTTAACCTAGAAAAAAACAGCATTTGGATATTTGTAGATCATGACTAAGGTACATTACCAAAGTGATGTTACTTCTCTTACACTTTCTGATGATAAGATTGCATTAAGTTTGCCACCCTAAGTCTCCTTTCTTTGGTGAGTATTTGACTATTTCTACATATGAAATGTCACATAACCAGTGTTAGAAATTTATAGAAAGGTATCTTCCACCCATGGTCTTTCAGTTCTTTGGTCTTGAGTCAGCCTCACTCAAGGTAATGTTGCCTTTTACCCCTTACATATAAAGAAATGTGTCAAATTTTAAAAGGCAAAGATAAACTTTCATTTTTTTATTATGCTAATGAGAGAGCGTGAATGTGTGTGTGTACGGGGTGGAGAAGAACCTGAGCTCTGGAGTCACAGAACTAGATTCAGATACGAGCTCTATCACTTCCTGTTAGTAACCATGGCCTCTCTGAGCATGGATGTATTTCAGCTCACAAAGTTGTTACAGAAATTGATACTGTTTGGAAAGCACCCAGCACAGTGTCTGCCATAGTAAATGGACAATTACCTTAGCTTTTATTATTATTATTATTTTTTTTTTGAAATGGGGTCTCACTCTTGTTGCCCAGGCTGGAGTGCAGTGGTGCTATCCCTACTCACTGCATCCTCCACTTTCTGGGTTCAAGCGATTCTCCTGCCTCTGCGTGTACCACTCCGCCTGGCTAATTTTTGTACTTTTAGTAGAGATGACGTTTCCCCATGTTGGCCCAGGCTGGTCTCGAGCCCTCAGGTGAGCCACTGTGCCCAGCCTTATGTTAGCTATTTTTGTTTATCAGTACATTGAAGTGTCCCACTAATGTTCAATTAGAGTTTATGTCTGTCTTTGCAAAAGTAGGAACAACACACAAGTGAACAGTATAGTCTCAAACCTCATTTGTTTTTTAAACTTTATATGTGTTCTCTATATTTTTCTAATAAAGCAGATCTTAGTGAACTGATTTTTTTCATTTGTTATTTGCTGGAGGTTATTCAAATGCCCAGTCTGGAGTGCAGTGGCGCAGTCTCGGCTCACCACAACCTCTGCCTCCCGGGTTCAAGAGATTCTCCTACCTCAGCCTCCTGAGTAGCTGATATTACAGGCATGTGCCACCATGATGGAATGTATTTTCCTTCTGGGTCCACAAGGGGGCGTAGTTTCAAGGGCAAGAACTTCCCAATGCCTCCCTCCCCTCTCCTCTGTCCAGGAGGCTTAACAGTCTTTGTTTTAATTTTCACGGGCACAGAAAAAGATCAAAAGTCAATCACTCCAGCAGAAGTTTAAAAGAACTGTTTTCATTGGCCAGGGGGCTTGGAGAAGGTGGGAATTCCTCCCAGGTTCAAAGTCCCTGTCTCCCTCATCCGGGCGTATTTTCTCTCTGGGGTCCCCTACCACACACTCTTCATGGAGGCTTTCTCTCTTCTTTTCCTTTTTCTCTTACTGTACCTAAATAAATCACTTTTCTACAAAAACTCTTTGGGTCTGGCATTTACTTTATGAGCGCACCCGCCATGGTCCCCTCGCCCATTCTTAAGAGAGCGAGAGACCAAACGCATGGAGCCCACAGCCACACCCGGCTAATTTTGTATTTTTTAATAGAGACCGGGTTTCTCCATGTTGGTCAGGCTGGTCTCGAACTCCTGACCTCAGGTGAATTGCCCACCTTAGCCTCCCAAAGTGCTGGGATTACAGGCATGAGCCACCGTACCTGGCTAACAGTTCTCTTTAAAATAGGAATGATGATGTAATAGAAATGCCTGTAACTTACAAAGTACTATATGTAGAGGACGGGGAGGAAGGACTTCAGCAACAACAATGCCTGTCATAAGTTGGGATAATTTCAGAATTAGATGTTTTAAGAAAGCTAATTTTTGTACGTAAGAAAAATTCTTATTAAAACATTAAGATAGAAAAAAAGGCAAATGCTAGTAACTGCTTTATAGATGAGGAGATTGAGAGACCAGAATTTGAACTTATATAAGGTCATGTCAGTAAAGGGACTCATATTAACAGTTTTTAATGGTGTGCTACTTCCACTAGAAAATTAATGGTTTATTGTTGGGAAAATATTTCTATATTGTTTAATGATCTTGGAAACACAGCTCATTATTTTAACCTGTTGAAAAAATACTTAAAAATAAATGTTGAAGGACTAGATTATATATCCTAGTAGTTATAAGTTGTAAAATTTCAAGATAGGCAACTGGTTTTATAGCCTGTTATTTAAACCTATTGAACAAATAAAATATAAATAAATGTTATATCTCAGTAGTTATAAGTTGTAAAATTTCTTTTTTTTTTTT